AATGCACATGTGTTTAGCTTCGTCAATAAGCCTGTAAAAACAAATATTAGACCAAATTTTTCCACAATAAAAATATTATTTTATTTTGCATGGTTCAGTTTGAAGTGCTTCCTGTGGTGTAGATGGTAACACTTTTGATTCCAGCCAGAGTCACAGGGTGTTTTTATTTAAGGAGAAACCTGCACAGATGAGCTCTGAAACATTTAAAAGGGCGTTGTTGTTTTTGTTTGATTGAAAATCTTTTAGAACGATGAAAAGCTTCATGTAAACAAACCTTCTCTCTTTCTTCTGTTCAGGAAACGATCGGTGAGTCACGCTCAGCTGATGCACGACAAAGGCCGGATGATGATGGAACATGAGCGTGTTTTACTCCTGAAGGCACTTTTGGACAAAGTCCACACGGCAGAGATCCGTGACCTCCCCATGCGGACCACAGGGGGAGGCGGGAGCAGCAGCGACGCCGGAGTCGGGATGCCGGGGGTCGGCCTAGGAATCAACCTCAGCACCACCGGCAGCACCCTGCACTCCAAACCTCCCGGAGGCACCAAGAACCGCCCCATCAGCTTCCGGCTGGAGGAGGAGGAGGGCACCAACCTGCCACAGGAGACCAACAAGTCGCAGACATACAAAGACGGCGTGAATAAAGTGTCGGGCAAAAAGAAGAAGAAATCGAGGGCTGGGAAGAGGAGGGAAGGGGAAAAGAGGAAGAGGAGGGCACGCTATTTGGGGTGGAGGCTGGAGGATGGGTAGCAGACTCCTCCTGGAGTGGAGGTCTCTGCTCGGCCTCCAGAGGGCGCTGCATTAAAACGCCGTCAGTCTCTGACGAAGGTGAGTCCAAACAGCTGACCTGGTTTTCAGAACACGTGTGTGCCGCGTTACAGCCGCAGATACTGCAGAGTGCACTGACTCTGTGCTGTGTCAGTGTTGTGGAGCTGAGATGATGATGATGTCTGAAAAATAGGGCGGTACTGAGAGTGGAGAGATATTTTGCTGCTATTGTTAATAATCATCGTCATTACCATTGCATTAATAATATAATCTACAGAACTGATATTGCATTCAGATGTTTAAACAGTGTGTGTCTTTCAGAAAGACTAAGTTGCAGGCTGACAGGAAGTTGCAGGTTTGCAGAGCGCGCGTTTGCAGAAGTGAAACCGAAAGCAGAGTCTAAGTGCAGGTTATTCTGAGGAGCTGTTTGGACTAGGTTATTCAAATTTCATTTATATCTTTTATTAAGCTTTTAGTAGAGGTTCTTGATTATAACATTTATTCAACATAGTGCATATAGTTTCAGTTAGGTTGTTACACATAAGGATGAGCCTCTGTTCTGGTGAAAGGTCAGAAGTGCAACGGGTGAGATGAGAGAGAGAGACACACATACTGTCATGATCCTGGGTCGTTGACCCAGCGTTTTGTGTTGCTTTTTGGGTTCATCTTGTGTTTGGTGTTTATTCTGACTCTGTATTCGTTCTTTGGGTTGGTTGTCGTGTTTATTGTTCCTACCTGTGTCTCCCCTCTGTGCTCCGTTCAGGTCCCTGCATTTTTGTTGTAAAACAGTCTGTGTGTTTCCGGTTTTACTTTGTAGGTCTGCCTCTCATCATGTCCATTAGTGTCAGCTGTGTCCACCCCTGCATGTCATCTCCTCATTACCTAGTGTGTATTTATAGTGTGTGTTGGCTTCTGTTCATCGTCGGATCGTCTGTGTTTCATGGTGTCCTGTTCCTCGTTGGCGTCTCTCTGCCTCCCACCCTGTTCCTATGATCTCCGGTTTGTTATTTAGTTTTCCCAGTTTAGGTTTCCGTTAGTATTTCTCATGCTTCGTTGTCTGTTTCTGCCACTGTCACCTGTAAATAAATCCTCACTCATATCATCAGTCGGCTGCCTGCATTTTGGGTCCTTTTTCCTCCTACACCACACGGCTCACCCCACCAGCCGTGACACATACAGTTAGTGAGCGTTAGTAGGCGAGAGAAAATAAGTAAGTAATAAATAAGAAAATAAACCTTATTGACGCTCTGCAGGGCGACAGATTTTACTCTTTGTGAATCCTTGCTCACATCGCTCCCCAATGTGCCTTACAAACTTTTTTTTAATGAGTAACCATAGACAATGAGAATATAGCTATGTAATACAGTTAGCATGATTCCCTGAGCTAACAGATCATCTGCAGAGGTTTATTTGAAGAGTTTCAGTCAGGTTTCAGAGCTCAGCACAGCACAGAAACAGCTTTAGTGAAGGTTACAAATGATCTTCTTATGACCTCTGACAGTGGACTCATCTCTGTGCTTGTCCTGCTAGACCTCAGTGCAGCGTTCGATACTGTCGACCATAATATCCTATTAGAGCGATTAGAACATGCTGTAGGTATTACAGGTACTGCACTGCAGTGGTTTGTATCATATCTATCTAATAGACTCCAGTTTGTGCATGTAAATGGAGAGTCCTCTTCACACACTGAGGTTAATTATGGAGTTCCACAGGGTTCCATGTTAGGACCAACTTGAACGATAGGCTCAGTATATCATATATACAGTATAAAGTTATCCACAGAATAGGCTCCACAGGTGAAAAACTACATAAAAATTGGATTCAGGGAATTTCAAACATGGACACAACGCACACAGAAAACTACAGACAGCTGTTAGCGTGCTATCTGGCACTGCACTCCTGTCAGCACTTTCGGAGTTATAGACCATTTATCACACATACTGGACTGCCCGATCCCTCTATCCCCCAACATTTGCATCCTGGGTTACTTATCAACACTACAGTTACAACCCTCCCCTGCTAATGTAATCTCCACATGGATGACTTTTGAAAGTTTCAGAGAGAGTCCCATGGGAAGGGCCCCAGGTCTGAGTGAGCCAAAAAAAAGAAGTCATCATCGGGACCAAAAATTATTAGCTGTTGCTCATCCACCTGCACACCTCTCGGCTGGCTTCATCTATATGTTCATGTTACACTCTGAATCATACCTTTCATCAGTGAAGCTTCCATCTTAACAACAAAGTTACAGTTTACACAGTTTTTAAAATTTGTAATTAGATTTATAGATAAATAAATGCAAATAAATGTTAATCTTAATAACTGGTTCCAAAGCTGTACCTATTAAAGTGTCTGGTGATTATCCACCTTCCCCACAAACGTGGAGAAGATGGTTGAGTTGAGAGAGCACGGAAAAGTGACTCAGCTGCAAACACATACACTGTAAATAGACACTGAAGCTGCTAACCGCTGTGTGTGGGGGTCCTCCTTAACACATTTACAATAAAATTATTTGTTCATCATTTAATTCAGTATAAAGGAACTTATGAATGCATCTAGTCTCCTGTGTTTGGGTGAGCAGCTAGAAATAATTGGTGGACAACTTGGGTGAGGCAAAAAGTGGCTGTTAGAATAGATGACCAACGTGGAAAAGAGGCAAAGATAAGCTTTCACTGTCCAGATTAAGAAAATGTCCAATGGGGAAACTACCTGCAGACATTTAATAAAACTCTGTTATCAGTGACTGGAAAATGAAGCCTTTGCATATCAGACAGACTGTACCATTGTACTGTACATAAAGAGAATCTGTCTGTCATGAAGGTGGCACGGATGCCCCTCCGGTGGTCCTCCTTGGGCTCTCGCACTCTGGGGCCTCTGGATGTCTGGGGCCTGGATCTCCTCCATGCCTGCTTCATGCCCTGGGGGACGGGGCTATGGCTCTCTACATCCTCTTGCAGACCATTACATGTGGAAACCATTTGAATACAAGCGTGCTGATCCACACAGGTGTGCACACGGGTGTTCACTGCTCGCAGACTTAAATTACACCTTTCTTGGCTGCTACTTCAAAGCACATTGTGCGCTGTCTGTCCTGCGTGCTGCACAACAACATTGAATATTTAGTATTTACTGCTGTTTACACTTAGCTAGATTAATGCGATGGTGTTGTGTTTAGTATGTTGCTTTGGGTTTTTTTGCTTGTTTTCTATTCTTCTCTCAACAGGTGATCCAGGAGATTTTATTTTATTTTTTTCCCCCTTTCTCACTGTCCCTCTCCCCTTCTGTTTTTCCTTTTCCTTCCTCTTTCTTTCTCCCTTTCCTATCTCTCACTCATGTCTGTCCCGTCTGTAACATCTGAAAATAAAATATAATAAATAATAAAAACAAAGGTCGATCAAATGGACCAATACGCCAATGCCACGATGATCCATTTGGCAAAATAAATCCATCGGGTATCCTTGTTGGTCTTCAGACAACAATTCTGACGGCTAAAGAACCAAATGGGACAGGCAAAAAAAAAAAAGAGAATCTGTCTCCTTTTTCCTGCTGCAGGTGAAGTCTTGATTTTTTCCAGCTTTGCTAATGAGTGATAAAACAAGACTGGCTAAACACCCGGCAACAGACCAGGGATACAGGTCTATGTGTTAAATGGCTGTAATGTTTATACATTATGGTTGATCAAAATCAGCAACTAACCCTCTAAACAGGAAGTGAGGTCACATCTCAATAACCACTAACATTTATATCATCATACCCTCCTGAAGGTTTTGCATAACCTCTGCTCACACCAATGGTGGTATTTAATGTCTTTTTTGAAAAAAATATTTTTGATTTATACTTTTGTTTGATTCCAAATCTGACAAAAAAAAAACCATCGATTGATCACATGTACAGTATGATGGCCGTCAGTTCAACCAGCTGTTGGAAAACAGCTGTTAAAGCAACTAATCAACAATTGTGGGATGAATAAAGCTCTGTAGTACTTGGAGTAATATTTGCTAAAAACTGTAACACTGTAGTTGCCAGGAGTGTAGGAAAAAAATGCTTGTATTAAACATCCATGGGTAAAATCTAATAAAGTATTTAGTTTGACAGCAAGAAAAGAAGTTTGCTGTCATGTCTGATACAAAACAAAGAAACTCCTCTTTTATTCATTTTCCTATCAATACAATATATTTAAAAGTCCAACGGTATTAAAATTCTTGACCATGGGTCAATGCAAATCATATTGTGGAGCTGTATAACTAAGGGTCAGTTCAGCTGAGGACTCACACACTCTTCACTCAGCCTGATGGTAAGTTGGTTTCTGTCTGTATTAGGATGGTGACACATTTGGTGCAGCACAGAATAACCTGTGAACTCAAGTCATGCTGTGATACTGAATTATGTTATTACCTGTAAAGACACTGCAGCCTGTAATAGTGGGCTAATTCTTTTTTTCATGTAAAGGGAAGATGATGTATTAAAATGATTTTTATTATTATTATTATGTTCTTTCAGGAAGTCCTTTGGATGATTGTCCTCACTGTTGGTCTGCTTGGCTCACATTGTGAGGGCGCTATATCCTGTAAAAATGAAAATGGTGCAGATGTAGACTGGTAAGACAACATTTGAGCTATTCATTCATGTATACTGAATTATACATTAGTAACTTTGGTCTTCAAGTGCTTCAAAGCTGCGCTATGGTACCTTTTACACCTGCGTTTCAACATAGTCATAGATGATGTTCAGACACTGTAACACTATTTTACACTGTTATTATCAGTTATTTTATATATTTCCATTTCATAAATAACGTCATTTCCAAGTATGGGAAGTTAAAACAGGGACATTAGACATACCTAATGCATTAAAACACGGAAGACAACACAATACTGTGACACTTGCCTCCTTTCTCCAGCCCTGCACATCTATTTTTAACACTCATCTTATTCTCACTTTATTGATCAAAAGAGGAAACATGGAAAGAAAACACTTTGCAAAGTTTCATAAGCTTCATCACATTTTAGCATCATGAGGAAGCCTGTGGAAAATACTATTCATAAAAGGCTCTGTTATTCATAGTTAAAGGTTTTCAGTCATATCTCTGCTTACTCATACAGGTGCTTGTGAGACTCGGGTATAACAGAGTTTGTTATTTTCTTCTTCCATGCTCAGTTAAGCTTCTCATCATTTATTGTGATCTTTGAATTTACTGACTTGTCTCTGACATCACCAGGTTTATTTTGTACAAGGTGAAAAAGGGGTTTGACTATGTTTACACTGATTCAACCAACCACAACCTTAGAAAGACTAACAAGGATGTCAACAACCAAGCTGGTGTCCTGGCAAATACCCTGAAGCCCTACTTTGAAAAAGTGAGATTAACTCCATGAGTTTCTGTTATTAGTGTGTATGCTCTTTGAGGAAAGACATAATTTATGTTATGTTTTTGTGGATTCTTTCAGGATAAGCAGTCATCAGATTTTGGATTCATTGCATACAATGACCAACCACCACCAGATGGAAAAGGTGTAAGTTCCACCCATGGCCACAGCAAAGGTGGGTAGAAATAATTTTTTAATAATAATAAAAATAACACAATAAATACTAATAAAAACACACCTGAGTTAAATGCGCTCTCCTTCACGCTCACCTCTGAGCATCAGAACCACAGCTGCTGTTATTCTCAGATCACTCAGCAGATGTTCTCTTCTTAATAATGACATGTGCTCTTTCATGTTCTTGTTCTGCAGGAGTTGTGATGATAGATGAGGACAATGTAGTCTGGCTTTTACACAGCACACCAAGATTCCCCTTTTCTCATGAAAGCAATAATTTCTATCCTAAAAGTGGGGAACGTAATGCACAGATATTTATGTGTGTAACACTGAAATCTACAGAGTCTGAAGAAATAGGTAAGAGCATGTCCAAGTTATTTCTTCATGTGTAGAGTGTATATGAAGTTTTAACACAGTAACATGTACATCCCTCATTTTGATGTTTTTCAGCTCAACATCTTAAAGATATCAAAGCTTATAAATTTGAAGAACACAATCCTGTAAAACTCACAGATTCTTCCCCCGTACCACGAGCGCGGCCCTATAACAAAGACTTGCGGTCAGCTGGTAATTCGCAGTTTAAACGCTTTGTTAAACAAACCTCAGCCACCAGGGATCCTAAAGGTGAGATTTCTGCTTCATTCGTTTAAGAAAAAAAAACCTTAAAACCACACTGTGAGTTTCCTGTGTGAAATAATTGTGACTTTCTGTAGTTTTCCCACCAAAGAGCTGAGAATCTTATTTACAAGGTGTGAAACGTCCAACCTAACACAGTCCTTTATTCTAACCCTCTAATGATTTGGCCTGTGAAACATCAGCTGGGTTATGAGTAGATCTAACTTTACAGAGTAGTTCTGTTCAAAATTTACTTCATTTAGATTTTAACTCTAAAAATAACTCACATTTAAAATTAAAAAATGATCCTGGTATGAAAATGTTGTGGAAGCTGAAAAATAAATCCTGTGAACACACATGTTGTGCTGTAAGTTTGTATTGCCATGGAAACCTTTCATTAAGGTGTCAGCGTGACCCAGCCTCAGTGCAGAGTTAGTGCAGGGGAGTGTAGCAGCAGGGATCATACGAGGTCTGATGTTTGTAAAAGAAATGATTAAATAAGAAGAGCTGGAATTTCCCATAAACTCTCAGAAAGCGAAAGTCGAGTCAGGGTTGTTGTAAGCAACACTTTTCTTTTTTTATTCTGTTATTTTAAAACTATCTGATGGTTTCTTGGTGTTTGTCTTTCCTTTTGCAGTCGGAGATCTTTATGTCACCATTGCTGACACACTAAATACCAATTTATACATCCAGACCTGGTGCAACGACCCTAATAATGCTGATAAACGTCCACCTTCTGTAACTGGAAAAGGCAAAGAACTAGTCACCATCATGTCAGTAGACACTGCCGCAGGTAAATGGAATCGTGGATGTGATCATTCCAAATGGTGTGTTTCTGAAACTGAAAACTGGATGTGTGTTGGTGACTCAAACAGAGAACCATCACAGTTCGAAAGGCCTGGTGGTGCACTGTGCATTAATAGCAAACCTGTGGCAGAAAAATTTAGGGAAATTAAAAAACTTTCTGTAAAGACACTGCAGCCTGTAATAGTGGGCTAATTCTTTTTTTCATGTAAAGGGAAGATGATGTATTAAAATGATTTTTATTATTATTATTATGTTCTTTCAGGAAGTCCTTTGGATGATTGTCCTCACTGTTGGTCTGCTTGGCTCACATTGTGAGGGCGCTATATCCTGTAAAAATGAAGATGATGAAGATGTAGACTGGTAAGACAACATTTGAGCTATTCATTCATGTATACTGAATTATACATTAGTAACTTTGGTCTTCAAGTGCTTCAAAGCTGCGCTATGGTACCTTTTACACCTGCGTTTCAACATAGTCATAGATGATGTTCAGACACTGTAACACTATTTTACACTGTTATTATCAGTTATTTTATATATTTCCATTTCATAAATAACGTCATTTCCAAGTATGGGAAGTTAAAACAGGGACATTAGACATACCTAATGCATTAAAACACTGAAGACAACACAATACTGTGACACTTGCCTCCTTTCTCCAGCCCTGCACATCTATTTTTAACACTCATCTTATTCTCACTTTATTGATCAAAAGAGGAAACATGGAAAGAAAACACTTTGCAAAGTTTCATAAGCTTCATCACATTTTAGCATCATGAGGAAGCCTGTGGAAAATACTATTCATAAAAGGCTCTGTTATTCATAGTTAAAGGTTTTCAGTCATATCTCTGCTTACTCATACAGGTGCTTGTGAGACTCGGGTATAACAGAGTTTGTTATTTTCTTCTTCCATGCTCAGTTAAGCTTCTCATCATTTATTGTGATCTTTGAATTTACTGACTTGTCTCTGACATCACCAGGTTTATTTTGTACAAGGTGAAAAACGGGTTTAACTATGTTTACACTGATTCAACCAACCAGAACCTTAGAAAGACTAACAAGGATGTCAACAACCAAGCTGGTGTCCTGGCAAATACCCTGAAGCCCTACTTTGAAAAAGTGAGATTAACTCCATGAGTTTCTGTTATTAGTGTGTATGCCCTTTGAGGAAAGACATAATTTATGTCATGTTTTTGTGGATTCTTTCAGGATACGCAGTCATCAGATTTTGGATTCATTGCATACAATGACCAACCACCAACATCAAATAGTGTAAGTTCCACCCATGGCCACAGCAAAGGTGGGTAGAAATAATTTTTTAATAATAATAAAAATAACACAATAAATACTAATAAAAACACACCTGAGTTAAATGCGCTCTCCTTCACGCTCACCTCTGAGCATCAGAACCACAGCTGCTGTTATTCTCAGATCACTCAGCAGATGTTCTCTTCTTAATAATGACATGTGCTCTTTCATGTTCTTGTTCTGCAGGAGTTGTGATGATAGATGAGGACAATGTAGTCTGGCTTTTACACAGCACACCAAGATTCCCCTTTTCTCATGAAAGCAATAATTTCTATCCTAAAAGTGGGGAACGTAATGCACAGATATTTATGTGTGTAACACTGAAATCTACAGAGTCTGCAGAAATAGGTAAGAGCATGTCCAAGTTATTTCTTCATGTCTAGAGTGTATATGAAGTTTTAACACAGTAACATGTACATCCCTCATTTTGATGTTTTTCAGCTCAACATCTTAAAGATATCAATGCTTATAAATTTGAAGAACACAATCCTGTAAAACTCACAGATTCTTCCACCGCACCACGAGCGCGGCCCTATAACAAAGACTTGCGGTCAGCTGGTAATTCGCTGTTTAAACGCTTTGTTAAACAAACCTCAGCCACCAGGGATCCTAAAGGTGAGATTTCTGCTTCATTCGTTTAAGAAAAAAAACCCTTAAAACCACACTGTGAGTTTCCTGTGTGAAATAATTGTGACTTTCTGTAGTTTTCCCACCAAAGAGCTGAGAATCTTATTTACAAGGTGTGAAACGTCCAACCTAACACAGTCCTTTATTCTAACCCTCTAATGATTTGGCCTGTGAAACATCAGCTGGGTTATGAGTAGATCTAACTTTACAGAGTAGTTCTGTTCAAAATTTACTTCATTTAGATTTTAACTCTAAAAATAACTCACATTTAAAATTAAAAAATGATCCTGGTATGAAAATGTTGTGGAAGCTGAAAAATAAATCCTGTGAACACACATGTTGTGCTGTAAGTTTGTATTGCCATGGAAACCTTTCATTAAGGTGTCAGCGTGACCCAGCCTCAGTGCAGAGTTAGTGCAGGGGAGTGTAGCAGCAGGGATCATACGAGGTCTGATGTTTGTAAAAGAAATGATTAAATAAGAAGAGCTGGAATTTCCCATAAACTCTCAGAAAGAGAAAGTCGAGTCAGGGTTGTTGTAAGCAACACTTTTCTTTTTTTATTCTGTTATTTTAAAACTATCTGATGGTTTCTTGGTGTTTGTCTTTCCTTTTGCAGCCGGAGATCTTTATGTCACCATTGCTGACACACTAAATACCAATTTATACATCCAGACCTGGCGCAGCAACCCTAATAAAGCTGATAAACATCCACCTTCTGTAACTGGAAAAGGCAAAGAACTAGTCACCATCATGTCAGTAGACACTGCCGCAGGTAAATGGAATCATGGATGTGATCATTCCAAATGGTGTGTTTCTGAAACTCAAGACTGGATGTGTGTTGGTGACTCAAACAGAGAACCATCACAGTTCGAAAGGCCTGGTGGTGCACTGTGCATTAATAGCAAACCTGTGGCAGAAAAATTTAGGGAAATTAAAAAACTTTCTGTAAAGACACTGCAGCCTGTAATAGTGGGCTAATTCTTTTTTTCATGTAAAGGGAAGATGATGTATTAAAATGATTTTTATTATTATTATTATGTTCTTTCAGGAAGTCCTTTGGATGATTGTCCTCACTGTTGGTCTGCTTGGCTCACATTGTGAGGGCGCTATATCCTGTAAAAATGAAGATGATAAAGATGTAGACTGGTAAGACAACATTTGAGCTATTCATTCATGTATACTGAATTATACATTAGTAACTTTGGTCTTCAAGTGCTTCAAAGCTGCGCTATGGTACCTTTTACACCTGCGTTTCAACATAGTCATAGATGATGTTCAGACACTGTAACACTATTTTACACTGTTATTATCAGTTATTTTATATATTTCCATTTCATAAATAACGTCATTTCCAAGTATGGGAAGTTAAAACAGGGACATTAGACATACCTAATGCATTAAAACACTGAAGACAACACAATACTGTGACACTTGCCTCCTTTCTCCAGCCCTGCACATCTATTTTTAACACTCATCTTATTCTCACTTTATTGATCAAAAGAGGAAACATGGAAAGAAAACACTTTGCAAAGTTTCATAAGCTTCATCACATTTTAGCATCATGAGGAAGCCTGTGGAAAATACTATTCATAAAAGGCTCTGTTATTCATAGTTAAAGGTTTTCAGTCATATCTCTGCTTACTCATACAGGTGCTTGTGAGACTCGGGTATAACAGAGTTTGTTATTTTCTTCTTCCATGCTCAGTTAAGCTTCTCATCATTTATTGTGATCTTTGAATTTACTGACTTGTCTCTGACATCACCAGGTTTATTTTGTACAAGGTGAAAAACGGGTTTAACTATGTTTACACTGATTCAACCAACCAGAACCTTAGAAAGACTAACAAGCATGTCAACAACCAAGCTGGTGTCCTGGCAAATACCCTGAAGCCCTACTTTGAAAAAGTGAGATTAACTCCATGAGTTTCTGTTATTAGTGTGTATGCCCTTTGAGGAAAGACATAATTTATGTCATGTTTTTGTGGATTCTTTCAGGATACGCAGTCATCAGATTTTGGATTCATTGCATACAATGACCAACCACCAAATGAAAATAGTGTAAGTTCCACCCATGGCCACAGCAAAGGTGGGTAGAAATGATTTTTTAATAATAATAAAAATAACACAATAAATACTAATAAAAACACACCTGAGTTAAATGCGCTCTCCTTCACGCTCACCTCTGAGCATCAGAACCACAGCTGCTGTTATTCTCAGATCACTCAGCAGATGTTCTCTTCTTAATAATGACATGTGCTCTTTCATGTTCTTGTTCTGCAGGAGTTGTGATGATAGATGAGGACAATGTAGTCTGGCTTTTACACAGCACACCAAGATTCCCCTTTTCTCATGAAAGCAATAATTTCTATCCTAAAAATGGGGAACGTAATGCACAGATATTTATGTGTGTAACACTGAAATCTACAGAGTCTGCAGAAATAGGTAAGAGCATGTCCAAGTTATTTCTTCATGTCTAGAGTGTATATGAAGTCTTAACACAGTAACATGTACATCCCTCATTTTGATGTTTTTCAGCTCAACATCTTAAAGATATCAAAGCTTATAAATTTGAAGAACACAATCCTGTAAAACTCACAGATTCTTCCCCCGTACCACGAGCGCGGCCCTATAACAAAGACTTGCGGTCAGCTGGTAATTCGCTGTTTAAACGCTTTGTTAAACAAACCTCAGCCACCAGGGATCCTAAAGGTGAGATTTCTGCTTCATTCGTTTAAGAAAAAACCCTTAAAACCACACTGTGAGTTTCCTGTGTGAAATAATTGTGACTTTCTGTAGTTTTCCCACCAAAGAGCTGAGAATCTTATTTACAAGGTGTGAAACGTCCAACCTAACACAGTCCTTTATTCTAACCCTCTAATGATTTGGCCTGTGAAACATCAGCTGGGTTATGAGTAGATCTAACTTTACAGAGTAGTTCTGTTCAAAATGTACTTCATTTAGATTTTAACTCTAAAAATAACTCACATTTAAAATTAAAAAATGATCCTGGTATGAAAATGTTGTGGAAGCTGAAAAATAAATCCTGTGAACACACATGTTGTGCTGTAAGTTTGTATTGCCATGGAAACCTTTCATTAAGGTGTCAGCGTGACCCAGCCTCAGTGCAGAGTTAGTGCAGGGGAGTGTAGCAGCAGGGATCATACGAGGTCTGATGTTTGTAAAAGAAATGATTAAATAAGAAGAGCTGGAATTTCCCATAAACTCTCAGAAAGCGAAAGTCGAGTCAGGGTTGTTGTAAGCAACACTTTTCTTTTTTTATTCTGTTATTTTAAAACTATCTGATGGTTTCTTGGTGTTTGTCTTTCCTTTTGCAGTCGGAGATCTTTATGTCACCATTGCTGACACACTAAATACCAATTTATACATCCAGACCTGGCGCAGCAACCCTGGAGAGCCTTCTGTAACTGGAAAAAACAAACTAGTCACCATCATGTCAGTAGACACTGCCGCAGGTAAATGGAATCATGGATGTGATCATTCCAAATGGTGTGTTTCTGAAACTCAAGACTGGATGTGTGTTGGTGACTCAAACAGAGAACCATCACAGTTCGAAAGGCCTGGTGGTGCACTGTGCATTAATAGCAAACGTGTGGCAGAAGCATTTAGGGAAATTAAAAAACTTGAAAAGATTAAAGCCGGTGCCACAGCCGGTGTCACTGACAGTGTCTGTCAGTGACACTGTCAGTGTCACTGACAGTGTCACTGACAGTGACACTGACAGTGACACTGGTCCACCCCCTAAAAAACCAAAAGTACATGGTTAACTGCAGCAGACAACCGCCTCGGTCTTGTTTTCTATCTACGTTCACCAGTTTCATATTTATTGTAAATTCATTTCAGATTTTATCAAAGTGAAGCTGACTTGAATCTGGTGCTGACATCGTCACTCTTGTCAGTGTTATCTAATGTTTCTGTGAACGATATGAAATTAAAAACATTTGATGGATATTTCACAGTGTGCTTCCTTTGCTCATGGAAACCATAGAAATAAATGACTTTGCATGAATCTGTCTTGTTTTTACTCCGAGGTCCTGTTTCTGTCTGATGACTTTTAAAATTATTCAAACTAGCCCCTGCAGTCAGACATCTTTATTTTTATGGTTTAGTAGATTCTGATTTGCTAAACCAGGTTTTATACTGAAATGTTTCTTCTGTAACAGGTCTTCTTTTATAGGCCCAGTTTTTTGGCCTACTCTTTTTAGTTTTGTTATTGGCAATATTGAGAAGTGTTATTGTTGATTTCGAATATATTCGATATAGTCTATCCAATTAAGGTTAAAGTCATGTTTTTAGCTGTTAGAATCTGATGAGCAATAATTTATAGCTGATTCAAATGGCTAAATAACCTCCCCAACATGTCTTAAAGTTCTCCAGAGGCCTGGGAATGAACTAATCACTTGATACAGGTGTGTTGACAAAGGGTGATATCTAAAACCTGCAGTACAAGTCCTGGATAACTAAGCTGTATAACTAAGGGTCAGTTCAGCTGAGGACTCACACACTCTTCACTCAGCCTGATGGTAAGTTGGTTTCTGTCTGTATTAGGATGGTGACACATTTGGTGCAGCACAGAATAACCTGTGAACTCAAGTCATGCTGTGATACTGAATTATGTTATTACCTGTAAAGACACTGCAGCCTGTAATAGTGGGCTAATTCTTTTTTTCATGTAAAGGGAAGATGATGTATTAAAATGATTTTTATTATTATTATTATGTTCTTTCAGGAAGTCCTTTGGATGATTGTCCTCACTGTTGGTCTGCTTGGCTCACATTGTGAGGGCGCTATATCCTGTAAAAATGAAAATGGTGCAGATGTAGACTGGTAAGACAACATTTGAGCTATTCATTCATGTATACTGAATTATACATTAGTAACTTTGGTCTTCAAGTGCTTCAAAGCTGCGCTATGGTACCTTTTACACCTGCGTTTCAACATAGTCATAGATGATGTTCAGACACTGTAACACTATTTTACACTGTTATTATCAGTTATTTTATATATTTCCATTTCATAAATAACGTCATTTCCAAGTATGGGAAGTTAAAACAGGGACATTAGACATACCTAATGCATTAAAACACTGAAGACAACACAATACTGTGACACTTGCCTCCTTTCTCCAGCCCTGCACATCTATTTTTAACACTCATCTTATTCTCACTTTATTGATCAAAAGAGGAAACATGGAAAGAAAACACTTTGCAAAGTTTCATAAGCTTCTTCACATTTTAGCATCATGAGGAAGCCTGTGGAAAATACTATTCATAAAAGGCTCTGTTATTCATAGTTAAAGGTTTTCAGTCATATCTCTGCTTACTCATACAGGTGCTTGTGAGACTCGGGTATAACAGAGTTTGTTATTTTCTTCTTCCATGCTCAGTTAAGCTTCTCATCATTTATTGTGATCTTTGAATTTACCGACTTGTCTCTGACATCACCAGGTTTATTTTGTACAAGGTGAAAAACGGGTTTAACTATGTTTACACTGATCCAACCAACCAGAACCTTAGAAAGAATAACAAGCATGTCAACAACCAAGCTGGTGTCCTGGCAAATACCCTGAAGCCCTACTTTGAAACAGTGAGATTAACTCCATGAGTTTCTGTTATTAGTGTGTATGCTCTTTGAGGAAAGACATAATTTATGTCATGTTTTTGTGGATTCTTTCAGGATACGCAGTCATCAGAGTTTGGATTCATTGCATACAATGACCAACCACCAACATCAAATAGTGTAAGTTCCAAACATGGCCACAGCAAAGGTGGGTAGAAATAATTTTTTAATAATAATAAAAATAACACAATAAATACTAATAAAAACACACCTGAGTTAAATGCGCTCTCCTTCACGCTCACCTCTGAGCATCAGAACCACAGCTGCTGTTATTCTCAGATCACTCAGCAGATGTTCTCTTCTTAATAATGACATGTGCTCTTTCATGTTCTTGTTCTGCAGGATTTGTGATGATAGATAAGGAAAATGTAGTCTGGCTTTTACACAGCACACCAAATTTCCCCTCATGTCGTGAAAGCAATAAGTTCTATCCTAACAGTGGGAAATGTAATGCACAGATATTTATGTGTGTAACACTGAACTCTACAGAGTCTGCAGAAATAGGTAAGAGCATGTCCAAGTTATTTCTTCATGTGTAGAGTGTATATGAAGTCTTAACACAGTAACATGTACATCCCTCATTTTGATGTTTTTCAGCTCAACATCTTAAAGATATCGAAGCTTATAAATTTGAAGAACACAATGCTGACAAACTCACAGATTCTTCCACCGTACCACGAGCGCGGCCCTATAACAAAGACTTGTGGTCAGCTGGTCATTTGCAGTTTAAACGCTTTGTTAAACAAACCTCAGCCACCAGGGATCCTAAAGGTGAGATTTCTGCTTCATTCGTTTAAGAAAAAAAACCCTTAAAACCACACTGTGAGTTTCCTGTGTGAAATAATTGTGACTTTCTGTAGTTTTCCCACCAAAGAGCTGAGAATCTTATTTACAAGGTGTGAAACGTCCAACCTAACACAGTCCTTTATTCTAACCCTCTAATGATTTGGCCTGTGAAACATCAGCTGGGTTATGAGTAGATCTAACTTTACAGAGTAGTTCTGTTCAAAATGTACTTCATTTAGATTTTAACTCTAAAAATAACTCACATTTAAAATTAAAAAATGATCCTGGTATGAAAATGTTGTGGAAGCTGAAAAATAAATCCTGTGAACACACATGTTGTGCTGTAAGTTTGTATTGCCATGGAAACCTTTCATTAAGGTGTCAGCGTGACCCAGCCTCAGTGCAGAGTTAGTGCAGGGGAGTGTAGCAGCAGGGATCATACGAGGTCTGATGTTTGTAAAAGAAATGATTAAATAAGAAGAGCTGGAATTTCCCATAAACTCTCAGAAAGAGAAAGTCGAGTCAGGGTTGTTGTAAGCAACACTTTTCTTTTTTTATTCTGTTATTTTAAAACTATCTGATGGTTTCTTGGTGTTTGTCTTTCCTTTTGCAGTCGGAGATCTTTATGTCACCATTGCTGACACACTAAATACCAATTTATACATCCAGACCTGGCGCAGCAACCCTGGAGAGCCTTCTGTAACTGGAAAAAACAAACTAGTCACCATCATGTCAGTAGACACTGCCGCAGGTAAATGGGATCATGGAAGTGATCATTCCAAATGGTGTGTTTCTGAAACTCAAGACTGGATGTGTGTTGGTGACTCAAACAGAGAACCATCACAGTTCGAAAGGCCTGGTGGTGCACTGTGCATTAAAAGCCAACCTGTGGCAGAAAAATTTAGGGAAATTAAAAAACTTGTAAAGATTGACACAGCCGGTGCCACAGCCGGTGCCGCTGACAGTGACATTGACTGTGTCACTGAGAGTGACACTGGTCCACCCCCTAAAAAACCAAAAGTACATGGTTAACTGCAGCAGACAACCACCTCGGTCTTGTTTTCTATCTACGTTCACCAGTTTCATATTTATTGTAAATTCATTTCAGATTTTATCAAAGTGAAGCTGACTTGAATCTGGTGCTGACATCGTCACTCTTGTCAGTGTTATCTAATGTTTCTGTGAACGATATGAAATTAAAAACATTTGATGGATATTTCACAGTGTGCTTCCTTTGCTCATGGAAACCATAGAAATAAATGACTTTGCATGAATCTGTCTTGTTTTTACTCCGAGGTCCTGTTTCTGTCTGATGACTTTTAAAATTATTCAAACTAGCCCCTGCAGTCAGACATCTTTATTTTTATGGTTTAGTAGATTCTGATTTGCTAAACCAGGTTTTATACTGAAATGTTTCTTCTGTAACAGGTCTTCTTTTATAGGCCCAGTTTTTTGGCCTACTCTTTTTAGTTTTGTTATTGGCAATATTGAGAAGTGTTATTGTTGATTTCGAATATATTCGATATAGTCTATCCAATTGGGTGCTATTCCCCCCTCCAGGGGCAAGGGTACCTAGACCCGGTTTGTAGAGTACGCTTGGGGAGTGTGATTGTGTGTACAGCGTCTCTTTATGTCTGTCTCCACGTTGGTTGAGTGTGGAGTGAGTGCATATGAGAGCATGAGGGTGGGAATGGATGTTTGTGTCTGTGTGTGCCTGTATGTCTGTGTCTATATGTCAGGTTGGGTATCAGACGCCACCTCTCTGGGGACACCTCAGGCCCTCCAAGGTTTGGAGGCCTATCTCCACCCACCACCACTTCCCCTGCCGGTGGCGGACTCCCTCAGGTGTCGGTGTGTTGGTGGTTCTTTGTGTCTGGGGGTGGGCGTCCGGGTACACACCAGCTCACTCCTTGGCGGCCGCTTGTCGGGGCCTGGGGCCTGGGGCTCGCTCGGGCCCCTTTGGAGGTGGGGTGCCCCCGGCCTCTCGGCCTAGGGCTCGGTCACTCAGGCGCAGCTGGGGGCCGGCGGAGCTCACGGGCGCGTCACTGCAACCCCCCCTGGCTTCTGCTCCGCGGCTGCTGAGTGAGCCCTCATCTGGGACTCTCCTCAGCTCTTACTGGAACAGTGGCGCGGCTGCCCCTCTGTTGGTCTTCCATGGTCTCTTGTGTTCTGGGGGCCTCTGGATGTCTGGAGTTTTGATCTCCTCCATACCCGCTTCACACCC